AACAAAAACAATTGTTTCTACACAATTTATATTTTCATTAAAATTCATATCTATTAATATATATATATATATATATATATTCATACATATATATATATATATATAAGTGGAGAAAATAGAATTTAATGTTGTTTGATTGCAAAATGATACTTCTTAAACTATATTTTGTCTTATTTGAAAACTTGAAAAATGGTAACATTTTGTTTATAACTTTGATATATTTACTCTTTAAGAGAGCAAATGCTTATGGGTGATACTTTTACAAACCGGACCGATTTTGGCAAAAAATGACCTCATGATCGTAGATTTGGCTAAAGTCACGGGAAAAAATTTTGTGATTTTTTTCCTAGGAGATATAGACGCATGGGGTTTTGAGAATTGGCATTGTAGATACATTTGCAAATGACTATATCTCAAGTTCATTAAAAGATAGAAACTTGAAATTTACAGCGTTTCAAAGATAATTGATTGTACTTTTATGAAATTGTTTAAACAATTAAAATTGTTTATATTTAAGTACTAATATTAACCGTTTAATTTCAAAAAAAAAATTTAAATATTTTCAGTGTGATATTTCTTTTAGAAGTAATTTAAAAAAATTATTTTATCAGGTGTCCTTCACATTGCTCACACGCACCATAATACCATTAAATCAATTTTCGAAGAAAAAATATACAAAAATGTTTACTTTTTATTTCTAAAATAAATGTATACATAAAGTGTTAATATGTTAAATTAGTTCCGCATCATTTTTGTTTTTAAATTATGAATTTTAACATAATTCAACAGTTTAATAAACTTTTTTCTTATATAGATGAATTAAAACAGTTGGAAAAATACTCTGCACAGGCAAGAAATATTATAGGAAATAAACTGTAAATAAATCGATATGGAGAGTTTAGGTACTTCTATCTTATAAAGATACTGGAATCAAATTAGGCATAAATTGTTAAGTAAGTCTGACAAATCCTCAGTTTCTGTTTTGAAAGCGAACAAGTAAGAACATTTAAATAATGGCAAAAGTTGGAAAAAATAAAATGCATCTACGGCAATTGAATGACTTAAAATGTTTCAATCCGCTGATACGGGTCTTCTTATTTTATGAAAGGAGCTCATAAAAAAAATTTTAGCCAAATCTCCGATCATGAGGTCATTTTTTGCCAAAATCCGTCCGGTTTGTAAAAGAATGACCCATATGCACACGAGGTGTATCTATATTCTATATTATATCAATTTTATTTTTTCGTTGTATTTTTATCTATGAACTATAACTACAATACATTTAATATGTATATGGGAGGTATCAGCTTATATAAAAATATTTGTAGAATTTCATGATATAAATTTCACGGCATTTAACATGACAAGATTTTAATGTTCGAAAGCGAATAGTTTTTATTTTCGAATTATGTCTGTATAGAGTACATTATCTTGAGAAAGTACAGCCATTGTAGAAGCTTGGTAACTTGAACTTTTTTAGTATATTTATTAAAATTCGAGCATCTTTTTCATCCTCACTGTACTTATTAGTGCCTTTATCATTGTGATTCTGATTAAAAATCTGATTTTATTAAACAATTTTTACAAAAACTATATTTTACAAGGAGACTACAATTTACAAACGCACATTTCTGATAAAAAATTAATGGCAAATATTTTTTTTATTGTTAAATTAGATTTTGCTTACTTACATTAAATGTAGCTCACATTCCCAGATATGGGATACTTTGGGTGATAAAGTCTACGAAGTTAAATTTTAATTATGATAGAATGACATTCTATCATATTCGATAGAATATTTGAACCTATTCGTACTGATAAGTTAATGTGTCATAATCAGTACCACCTTCTTTCATAATCAACTTTTGATGTCCTTTTTTGACAAAACTTACCTACGATGGTTTTTCGAACACCATTTTCTTGATGTTCTCGATGTTTTGTCGTTCTTAGTCGTTAAAGGCTAACAAGTCGAGCCAAGTCAACTACTACATTTCGACTTTAGACTTCAGAAATGAAGATTTTTTCATCAATATTTCAAACTATATAGTACACACGGTTTCGTTTAAAATTCAAAATTTAATGCAAACTCTTGGTTCAACTAATTTTTTCACAGAATACTCTAAATTTCTAAGTGATTGCAAATTGATATTAACAGCTTAGAGACGGTAACTAGAACGAAACCAATCGAAATGAGAACAATTTAGAGCCCAGATGGTTACAATAGAGAAAATAAGGCTTCATCGATTATAAAGAGAAGGTAAAGTAATTAATATCAGATATGTCTGTTGTAAGCAGATAATGAACAACTAACGTGACACTGCAAGCATTCAGCTTGTAAATGCTATAGTGATAACATTATATCTGCTATACCATCAAAAGTAAGACTTCAGTATTATCAATCGTTTATTTTAGTTTAACATACATTTTTTTAGCTGCTTTTCAAAAATAAATTTCGCAACAAGATGCTGAATGTTTGCAAAAACCGAATAAAAAATATTTTCTATACGCTTAGGTCGGAATTAATAAATAACTAGCTCATTGAAGTAAACTCTGGGGTCTCATTTGGATCGAGGTCCTAACGTGAAGAACTTGAAGAAATTTTATTAAAAAAATTTGTGAAGTTAAATTCAAGTAAATCGATCTCAACTAACAACTTGATGTTACAAACTCTGTTACTGTACTTGACTTTAGATACGTAAACAGATTACAGATTTTCAAGTAAAGTTTTACTCGAATTTTACAAGTATATACGGGACAGGACCTACTATCTTAATTATATCTCAATTCATGCAATCGTTTTCCTACACAACTTTTTATATCTTATAACGTTGTTGTCGTTACTATTTTTAATATAAGCGTTAAAATTAAATATTTACAAATATACATATATATATGAATGTGTATTAATGGAAATATTATTATATGAATATATATGTATATTAATTTAAACTTATGTGAAGGATCAGAATTCGCGTTGTCATCAACGTTACAGCTTATTTAAGCTAAATTTGATCCTAAAAGATATAACAAATATTGAAGCGACTTTGAAAAAAGAATTATGTAAATATAACATATATATTATGTTGGGTTTGGCTTTATACCGAACAACAGTTGTATAATTACAGTTAGATGGTAAATATTGAAATGGTAGATAATAGAAAAGTATTTCGATTGTTCAGCTTATGACAATCTGTGTTCAAATTTTATATTAGAACCTGAAAGAGTAATATGCATAGAACACATAGGTATGTCAATACTTAAGGGGTCACCTCTAAATCAATTCGTTTTAAATTTTATAAACTATATAGTGTAAATACTTTATGGAGCCCCCAAATCAAATTGACATCAAATTTATAAAAGGAATTGTTCCTTCAAATGAAAAATATGGAAATATAAATAAGAACAGCTGTACTTTGCCATCATAAAAATTATTTAGGGAATAGATTGTAAAACTGTTTTATCTGTTCATTATTTATTTGATATAGTTTCAGCATTTCAAAACATACATTGTGACCGAAAGGTTTTCGGAAATTCTCATTTAAAATTCGCGCGCTGTATATTTTTCGATATTTTAAGTTTATGTAGTTTGGCAGCACTGTCCTTAATTACTATGCCAAAAATGAGCGCGATCTGTCAGACAGTTCGTTTACGGCAGCTGTTGAAACCAGTTCCCCTCAGTAGTGCGTTGCGAAAAAACAATGGAAAAAAATATTGAACAAAGAGTTTGCATCAAATTTTGTGTTTCGAACGAAATTTCGTGTGCAGAATCGTTGCGAATGCTACAAAAGGCTTATGGGTAATCAGTTTTATCGAAAACTCAAGTTTATGAGTGGTACAAAGCCTTTCAGGACGGTCGTACGACCGTCGAAGACATGCCGCGTTCTGGACGACCTTCGGCCTCTACCACCGACGAAAACATTGAAAAGGCAAAGGAAATCGTGTTCCAAAATCCTCATGTGAGTGTTAGAGAGATAGCACGAGAGCTAGGCATCGGTCGTGAGAGCTATCCGCCGTAAACGGCCTCAATTGTGGAAGGATAATTCATGGATTTTTCATGACGATAATGCTCCCTCGCACCGAGCCAACATTATCAACGATTTTAAGGCCAAACATTCAATAAATACCATCAAACAGCCACCGTATTCACCTGATCTTGCACCGTGTGACTTTTTCCTGTTTCCCAAACTCAAATTACCACTCAGAGGAACGCGTTTTGAATCCATAGAAGACGAAAAACAGAATTCGCAGAGGGAACTCAAAGCCATACCGGAAAGCGCCTATAAAAAATGTTTTGATGATTGGAAGAAACGTTGGCATTTGTGTATCGCTTCTAATGGAGCATATTTTGAAGGAGATAAAATAAATATTGATGAAGGTTAAGAATTTTGCGTTTTATTTAAAATTTCCCGAAAACTTTTCGGTCACAATGTATGAGTATAGTATATTACAAATGAAATGAAAATGGTTTTCTATTGTGTTCTATGTAACTATATAGGAGCAGTTATATTCTTATACTGAAGCGAGGTAACAATAATTATGTTGTAATTTTCTTTGTAACGATATTACAATAAACAAGGTCGTATCCAGTTTATTTACTTCAACTCGTTCATGTAAGTATCCTCTTTATCGTCCTAAACACAAATCCAATAGTTGTAGTAGTTTTTTTTTTTGTTGTCACTTCCTTACAAATAAATATATCAAATAATGATCTCGCAGCCATCCAAACCTCATCATTGTACTACTGATACAACCCCTTTATTTGACAATATTTGAGGAGATGAGAAGAGGAGAGATATATCTAAATTTTTCTCTTAAATTCTCTTTTAAATTATAAGCTGGGAGTCGTACAGTTCTCAAATTAAATAAGTTAATAATTTTATTTAAAAAAAAACCTACTTGACATAATAATATAACTATAGAACGTAAATTATTGAATAAATGCAATCAGAGTAATCATTTTGAGTTGTCAAAAAATAATAAATCTAATCAAAACTTATCTTTTTCTGTTCTGTTAAAAATTATAAATTTCTATTTATTTAGAGTCACTTTTAGTTCATTGGAACTTGAGTAAAATATCTGCTTAATTGCATTTGTAATTTTATAAACATTCTGAAGAAAATGGATCATATCGAAGATGCAAGCGCAAATACAGTTGACTTTGAAATAAGGGCCTGCACATCTACTATATTGCCTATTAGCAGCAAGAAGCATATTTTGAATGAAGCCGAAGAAGGAAAATACACTAATTCCGGTTTGCCACCTTCGTCATGTACATCTATTGCCAATGAGGAATCCAATCATGCAATAAGTGAAACTGACAGCATACAAGATGTGCAAAACGTTGCGGAACAAGAGCAGTTCAATGTTTGCTCCAAAAAACAACTCACGAATGAAATATCAGTATCAGTTATCACTGATACTGAGCAACAACAACAACTGATACTGCCTCAACAAAAAAAGTCTACATCGAATGAGCCACAATATGAGGAAGCTACAAATGAGACAGATGGTAAGATTATAAGGTTTTCGATTGATGAACTCACGAATGAAACATCAGTATCCGTTATCACTGATACAGTTATCACTGGTACTGAACAACAAAACTTGTCTCAACAGAAAAAGTCTACATTGGATAAGCCACAATGGGAGGAAGCTACAAGAGACGTGTCGATATCAAAAACTGATGGTGAGATTATAAAGTTTTCCATTGATGAACGCAAGCAAACTAAGCTTGATGTATCAGTTATCACTGATACTGAACAAGAAAACTTGTCTCAACAGAAAAAGTCTACATCGGATGAGCCACAATTTGAGGAAACCACAAATGAGGTGTCGATATCAAAAACAGATGGTGAGATTATAAGGTTCTCGATTGATGAACTCACGAATGAAACATCAGTATCCGTTATCACTGATACAGTTATCACTGATACTGAACAAGAAAACTTGTCTCAACAGAAAAAATCTACATCGAATCAGCCACAATGGGAGAAAGTAACAAAAGAGGTGTCGATTTCAAAAAATGATGGAGAGATTATAAAATTTTCCATTGATGAACTCAAGCAAATTAGGGAAGATATAGAAAGCAAAGTAACTAGAAACAATTTAAATTGGGAACCATTTGATCTTACAACGAAAAACAATAACGATAAGGTTTTTATTATTATATTCTTTCCAAAAATTGTATATTTCTCCTTGGTAATAATTAATTTCACGCTCTGCGTTTGACTACAGGTTATTAGTAACTCAATAAGCAACAAATTGAAAGAAGTTTTCCCTTATCACAGTGATACCTCTTTGGAATACCAATATTCTACAGGTAATGTTTACATATTTCAAAACGACGTTCTCTGAGCTTATACCTATATAGCAAATAAAAAAAATTAAACTCTGTTATAATTTAAAATAATTTTTCATTTCCGATCAATTATGCAATAAAAGAAGTCAATACATTAAGTGAGGTCCGCAGAACAAATTTGAATATAACAAAGTCGTCTAGTTTCCCATACATTCCGAATTCAGTTTCTCAGGGACACATGAATTTTTTAAATGAGAATACCATCGCGTCTGAAAGGCCAACGAAGAAACCTGCCAAATATCAAAAGCACATTACTATTCGATATGATGACTCAGACGAAGAAGATAAAAAACGAGTTCCATTCTGCCCATACTGCTTATAAGCACCTGTAATTGTTAAAGGATACATAAAGATTAGTCCTAAAAGAATATATGAAATGAAAGGAAACAGTGCTCATATATCTATGTCTATGGATTACTAAAACTCACTTCGTGCCTTCAGTATAAACATAACTTCGTCGAAATTTTTTGTTTAAGTCTTATTGAATATTTCATACATTTGTGTTCAATATACGTTCAATATATATTTTAGTATTCCATCTATAAAGTAAATAAAATCGTTTGTGTTTAAGTATTATTATTATTAGGAATTATTTAAAAAATGACACTGCATTTCAGACTCTATAAAAATCTACATTTGAATATTTATTATCATTCTAAATAAAAAATATGAATAGAATGCAATACAGAAGCTAAAATCTTGTCATGAATTGCGAACATCGTTTTAAATCCTCTAAAGACAAAAAAATACAGATAATTTCAAAATTTAATACAGATGAATTCATTTATGAAAATGTTTTAATCATAAGATGTTTTTGAATACAAAAACAACTATCATACTTCACCCACTGAAGAGTTTTATTTTGCTTTTATTTTTTGTTTTTCAACTCCGGAGACTTCGTTACTATCCCATTAATTGAAATTTCCGAATACTTTCCGAATCGTAAATCTAAATACGAACAGCACTACTATTGAATGCTGCTATTCGTACATTACTTCAAATATTTCTCAAATCCATTTGATTCACTGGTAAATCTCTTGTATACAGACATTTGTTGTCTATCTCATATTGTATGTACAGATTGTAGCATAAAAAAGTAGTGTAAATATTCCCTATAAAATATTTTAATTTTTTAGGTTTCTCCAAATGATTATACATACAAATACACATCAAAAATTATTGTGGTTTACTAACCTGAAAAAAGTAGAAATAATGTCTCTGACTTTTTAGGATCCAGTATGTTGCTAAAACTCTTAGGAGATCATTGTAAACGCTATCTTGTAAACAACATCTGTAGAGAGATGATTAACAGTAGTTGTCGAACTTAAATGTAATAGTAGTGTATTTCGAAAACATTCGATCACGCCTTCAGTCCTCTAAAAGAAAATGTTGAATTTATACAAAAGAAATGTTTGTTTCTTTTTTATAATTAGCATATGCTTTTCTTAATGGTATAATGTTATCCTTCCTATCTATCAATTTAACAGTTATTAAAGTCAAAGATATAAATATTATTTAAACAACGAATTACAATATTTTTTAAATCATTAAACTATACAACATTTATTATATGCTCAAGTAACTAACAACAACTAACTCAACTAATATATAATTATATATTATTATTTATAAAAATATATAATACAATATATTATGTATATAATATAACTGGGTACACATATGAGCTTTAAGAATAGTTATTATTATAACATATATGTTATAATATTATAATATTTACTATAATAGTTATTATTGTTTGTCATTACAACTTGTTTTAAAATGAAATTTGTTTGGCTTTTGCAGTGATTGGCCAATCAGACAGAGGAACATCTTTAACATTAAAATTTCTAAAACGCAATCGAGCAACCACGCCTGGATTCGCCATCCTCACCGTAATCCTCACAAATTTTTCGACAACTTTTTGCATTCATTTCACCTTTTTTTAAGGATATAAAGGATATAAAGGAAGCATCAAATAGTGTATTTAATAGATTTATAGGAAGGAGTTAACTTGTGCGGGCTTCAGATCAGTCCTGAATAATTCGAATTTAATTTGAATCACTCATATTCAGTGCAACTTTTTTAACTTACTACTTAATGGCATTAATAAATAAAGTTAAGAATTCTTTTTTGATGGTTTAATAAATTTCAATTTTAAATAAAAAAAATCACAGCATTTTGAAAAGTCACAATGTGAAATTATTAAAGGATCTAGTTGTTTTGAGCAAGCCAATGCATGGATAAATTAAATAAAAGTGTCCTACAATACATATTGAAAGTTCTATGGTTTGATGGTCAGCATTCTGGACTTGATTCCAGCGATCCGAGTTCAGTTCTATGTAGGCGTTCAGAGTTTGCTGTTGTGATGGATTGTATAAGCTCGATGATTAATATAAATTGGATGCTTATTAAGAATACTGGAATATTAGACCATTAGAGAGTCTAGACTACAGAGAAACAGTCTAAGAAAGAGTGGTAGATTTTAATTAAACATGTGAACACTGCTTTAAGATACTCTGCGCTTTTCTCTGCATTTTAAATAATTTTCTAAATACAACATACTATATATTAAATTCTATGTATATAAAGAGGTTTTTTCGAACAGTGGTGAACTGCAACAACAAATATTTTATTTTTTATATTATTTTAATTAATTGAATATTTGGCTGACCATACAGCTGTTTCGAGTATTGCCAAATACCTATCATCAGTGGTCTTGGAAATAAATCTTGTATTTAAATATTCTTAAATACTTATTTTTGAGACTGCAAGTACCAGGAATCGAACTCGGGTCCTGCCAAATGTGAAGCTCAGAATCAGCAAACCTATATACATGTAAATATAGTTTAAATAAATAAATCATAAAACAATTACAATTACTTCCGTTAATTATAATAATGAATATTAGTAAAAAAAATAATAAATAACTACAAAATGTCCACAGCTTAAAATTATACATATATGTTAAAGTTATCTCTTAAATGTTTAAAGTTCATTTACTACTTACTACTTACTAGTTCACTAACTATACATAAACTCCTTATAGTTAACTCTAACCGCAGGTACTCGCAAACGTTCCTACAAACCTTCCTCTAATCATGTCTCTGTTGTCTTTACCTCCTTTTAGTGATCGAAATAAAATCTGCATTTGGACATGATTCATCACCATCATTGAACTGATTAAACTGATTTGTAGTAAAATTATTTTAAGAAACTTCACCACTATACGCCATCATTTGAAACGGATGAGTTTTCTCAAAAATTATGGAAAAAGTCCAACGTGCCATCTCGGAAAATTATCTCTCCAGACTCTCCAGATTTTGAATGCTCCTTTGTTGTATTTTACTAGGTCTAAATTAAATCGAAATTTTATATTTCTGCCTAACATACAACGGAAGACTGGTGAAGTGCCAAATGTTGTATAATGTTTCATAGCACGATAAACGATAAAAGGACATCTTTCAAGTATTACTTTAGACGTAATACTGTTTCTTGATAAAATTTTCAGCCAGAAAGTGCATAAATTGATTTAATGCCATTTGCTTTTAAACAGTGTTGGAGTTCCCCTGCTGTGGATTGGGTTCCATTATCGTTTACTATGGTATCCTTGAACCACTTTACAAGAAACTTTTCTCAGTATTGTGATCGTGGATGCCGTCGTTATATATATGTTGGGTTTTAGTAATTCTTACCCATTTGGAGTATACATCAACTGCAACTAAGAAGTAAACATTTTTTATTGGTGCGGCAAATTCAATGTAAATCAGTGTTCAATTGTTAAACGTTCGTTTTCTCACAGAACCTCCCGAAAATTCTACCGTCTTATGCGAGACAATTTTGTTGATTGCAAAAGAATCTAATTATGGTTCAAATTCACAATTCCTTTTATTTTTTTTAAATAGGCAAACCATTCCAATTTTGTTTGATCTTTACTGCGAAATGCTCCAAAAAAAGTTTGACTCTCAGCACATGTTACTCTGTTTATAATAGAGACTCTGTTTATAATTATATTATAATAATTTTATAATAGGTCTAACCATTCTACTTGATTATCCCGATATTCCATTACAATAAAATGGGAGTCCAATATTTTCACCCAATTCCTCTTACTTTAAACATGTGGCCTGAATTTTAGCGCACCTTAGTTGTTGTTATAATGAACACTCTATCGTTCTGGACCATTATCTCATATTTTTTTTTTTTTTGTTTTTTCTAACTTATCGAAAACTTAACGCATCTCTCTTGTATTCTACTCTTATATATAAGGTGTCATTTAATACTTCTTAAAAAAATTTTTGTTTTTGTACTTTAGAAAATATATTTCAACATCTTGCAATCACCGGGACATAAAGGCAGATAATAGCTTTGCTATATCTTTACTGATTATATTAACAATTAATGTTAAAAACAAACTCAAATGTGCTACAATTATTGCCTTATATGAGGAAAATACACAGATATTCTTTATTCTTGTTTTATAAAAGCACAATTGTATTCTTGGAAAGCATCATATTTAATAACCATTATTATGTATCTAAATCGTACCATTTTAGTTAAAAAATACCACAAATTAACCCTAAAACCCTAAACATTTTTAACCATAATTATTATTTAGTAATGTTTAATGTGCTTCATTTATTATTTAACACATTATTTTTTTGATGTTTTTTAACCAAAAATTTAATTAATAAATTTAAGAAATGTGAAATGCAATAAGTTTTAAGAAATTTATTGACGAAATACTGATATTATTTATATATGTATTTTTCATTAGTATTTTAATAAAAACTAGTACTTGAATCAAGAACACTAAGTACAAGAGGACATCTCAACTCAAGCAATTTCATTTCTACACACATTAGACAAATTTTTTAAAATCTCAATTGAGAAGTTCTCTAGTATTTAGTGTTCTTGCTTGAATACTTTAAAATGCAATTAACTTTCACCATTTTTTATATATGAGATTTCTTTGTAAAAGAATATAGAAATAAATACCTATCATCAGTGGCCTTGGAAATAATTCCTGTATTTAATTATTTGTAAATAGTTGTTTTGAGACTGTAACATAAATACCAAGGATTACCAGGGATCAGGGTCAGCGCTCCTTAACTAACTAACCCAAAGCCGTACTTGACTTGTACCTATATTTGAAAGACAAAAGTGTACAATAAATGAATAACTAAAAGAACAGAAAATTTACATTGTTTCTGTATGTGGCGAAAAATAACTATATCTGATCATTTATGAATTGTTGAAAAATAAATTTCACAAAGTAAGCGAAATGGAACTATAAGAATTTTAAAGTAGGGTGAGAATTAGTTACGAACAGGAGATTGTTGTGGACAAAGGATCATCATTTTGTTTTGGTGTTAAGCTCCTGGAGGTCGTTAAGAAAAAAAGAAACCCTTAACCTGGCTCATTCAGCCAAATTATTATATTTCTTAGCACAGGTCATCCGTCGTTTACGAAAGGATAAGAGAAACCCCGGGCGCCATGTATTCAAGAGACATAACTTCACCTTTATGATATAATTACGCGCTG